GTACAGAAATTCTACAATGATAATAGTGTTTTGCTCTATTGAAAGCGAAAAATAGAAGATGCTAATGCCAATTCGAATGTCTAGTTTAAAAGGCCTACAGCACATAGGGACTTTAGATTGATTAGAAAAGAAGTTGGAAGCCTGATTCTTCATATGCAGCATCTTCAAAATGCAAAAAGCGGACGGCGTCTGCAATAATAAGGGAATGTAATTACTTCTTCACCCATTTAGTTATTTCGAACTAACAGATTTTTAGGTCGCCCTTTAGGGTAATTGTGCTTATAATTTCAATTCAAATTATACTAAAACGCATTGTCTACTCCTTTATCTTGGAAAAACTTTAGTGGTGAATTGACACAACGACTTGTTAACGTTTTTACGGTAAAATCAGGGAAAAAAGTTCCAAATTATCTTCGGATACATAAAATTGTGATACCATATATATGCTATACCGCATGGTATTATCACTAAAAATTAAGTGCTTGAAAATACATAAATAATTCAGTATAGTTAAATTGATATAGTTAAAGATATATATATTAAATAATATACCATATATTCTCAACACCATAACCTATATAGAGGGTGAAGCAATATCTCCTGAATTTGAAAATTGTGAATATTAATACTGTCTTTCATTTTAAAGATTTTTCGCACAAAGGCAATTTCTCTTTCTGCAACTTTAATATAGTATTTTTCAAAGGAAGTGAATTGAATAATATGGAATTCATAGAGCCCGCCAATCCCTGAGAGAAAATTTAAGGAATCTGACAGTTGCAGATTTTAAGAAATTTTAGAAGCTTAAACCAAACAAAAGACTTTTGGATAGCACTGTTACGTTTGAAGAGTTTCTTCAGGGATGTCATAATATATATCATATGTATTACCATAAATTTGGACAAAGGCAAAGGTCACAAAGAAGCTTAAATAATAGCTGAAATACATATAATCTGGGATATATATGTATGATTTATATAGTTTTGGACACCTTTATTATGTCAGAAGTAAACTTAACATATGCTTCATTTTAAAGGGTATAAATGGATGAAGAGTATTAAAACTACAGTACAGCCAAAGCAAACTTTTTTGTAATTAGTTATAAGAAATTGAGTAAATAAAAATATATTATACTCTCTTAATAGATTTGGGATTTATTGGCAAAAAAGAACATTGACATGGTCTGGAATGTTGATATGATAAAAGCAGAACTTATCTCCAATTCTCAAGTCGTTAATATTCAACATCAATCCAGTGAGTATTTAGATTAAATAACCACTTTCAACAATTTTTAATATATATTTGTGTAAGGCTATATAACGTGTATACATAATCTATTTATATAGTTTATTGAATAAATATCCCTCTTTTAAATACAGATAGAGTGCAAAAACAAATCCAGATTATATTTTGCGTATTAATTAAATATATATTATAAACCTATTTTGATTTTGATTTGGAGGTTATCTGAAGAAAAATATGTCAAAATCTAAATGTAATTTTTTTAAATCAAGTTAAAATAGTACTTGACAAGTAATTGATTAAAATCAAAATGGTATGTATTTATAGACATATCTGTAATTTTGGGTATAAAAGCTCAGTTTATAGGTTTACTCTTAAATATTCTGAAAGTGTATTTGCACCTAAGTAGACAAAATGAAAATTTTCTTAATCGCCTTTGTTGCCAGTCTGTCTCTGTTGACTGTAAATGTAAGTACTTTTAACTAAATAAGCATATAAATCATATATAAATTTTAAATATTCACATATATTATAATATATAGGCTGGATTATTGCCATCATTTCATTCACCCTTGATCGACGCAGCAGTTCACCATTATAAAACGGCAAATTGCGTTGTCCAGAACACTCTTGAAGTACAAAATGTAGCACAGAATTTCTTAGATGAAATCGTCGGTTGTGGTACCAATGTTTCTGAGGAGTGGTTTGCTATTATCGATGCTTGTGTTGCTATAATTGAGACCTGCCAAAAAATTATTCGTTTACATGAATCAACCTGTAGTGACATTAAGAATCCATCAACTATTTGTGTTCTCCTTTTCTCCAAGGATGTGGCAGTATTGAAGAAGCAAGCTGATACTGCAGCAACTCTATTTAAGGAATTGGAAGAATTGCCACATGTCACTACTTTATGCGGTGGAACTGCTGTGAATCATGTCTCAGATTATTTTACACAATTTTCAGCTAATGTCGGAATTTGTGCCAATTAAATTTTGTTTAAATATGAACAGCAAATAAAACTATTAAATAAGAATCAGTCCAAATTTGTAGATGTCTTTATTGCATTCAATGAAATTGTAAAAAAAATTTTGTCAAAAGTATTTCTCAGGCATTGGCGGGGTCTATGAATTCTTTTTTTTATATTAATATGTTTAGATATTTACTATTATTTATTAAAAATATATGGCATCTATTTTATAAAAATAGAGAGTTTCTATTTTATAAAAATAGAGGGTTTCTATTTTATTAAAACAGTGGGGTTTTATTTTATAAAAATAGAGGGCATTTATTTTATAAAAATATCTAAAAAACTTTCTATGGCAATGTAAATGAGTGTTGTCAATTTTCTGTTCTATTGAGAAACAGATGTCCAAACTGGTTAAGTATATCATAAATAGAATAACATCTATGAGCACCGAACACACAATTTAAAAGAATTCATGAAATTCCATAGTCCACAACAACTCTTTAAGTTAAGTACAGAAAGATATATCAATGCAATAGAAGAACCTGGACACCTTCTTTTGTTTAGGCTATGCGGATAAAGCCTATATAATACTCAGTACAACTTAATATTACAGTAGGCAATGAGAAACCCCAGAAAGAAATAGACGTTAACCAATAAATAATACTCAATACAACTCAATGTCATAGTGGATATAAAGAAAAGCAATTCAAACAAAAACTTGGTACCTTAGTAAGATAACATTGTATTTAAGATCTTTTTTAATAGATCGTATAGAACAAATTCATAAGTTTATTATATTGATATACGTTAGTAAGTAAAATGGAGCATTATTTTTATGCATACCAAAAAGGGGCCTTATTCGAAAAACTAAAATAGAATTAAAAATGTATAGTAAAGATAAAACAACAAAAGTATATAATAAGTATATGAGCAATGACAACATATTGATATTAATACAACTAAATTTTTTTTATCACAGCACATGTACCCATGTGCCATAAATTTTATGGAGTATGTGGAACTAATGTGATATGTTTTTTAATCCATTTAAAAAAAATCGAATATTTCTTAAGATCACTGATGATAAGTACTAAGCAAAACTCGAAATAGTGTTGTATGGTCAGCCAAGCTTCAATGAACTAACTAAAACTTTTGTTGTTGTCTTTTTATTTCTATTTGAATTCAATTGTTTTTAAAGGGGTTTTAACATTATTATGTGTTTAATAAACAAATTTTATACAAATTTTATTTATTATTAAAGTTACTACAATAATTTGAAATCGAAGACTTGGTTTATTTGTTTAAATTTTCTACATATAAGTAGGTCGATCAAATTAACATCAACGATCGTTTAGGTTAGTGTCTGACTGGCACTGGGTGTTACGCATAGACGCTACGGTCCTTAGTGATACTAGGTGGAGATTTGACAAAGAAAACCATAAAGACACTATGTTTGTATTCACAATTTGAAGATTTTATTGAAACTTATTCCACTGTTTAAGCAGTTTAAGCCTTAAGTAGACAGTTTAAGACTTAATAGAACTTTAAGTAGATACAAACAAATCCACAGATGTATAAAATAATATGTAAGTAAAATAATATTTTTAAGTAAACTACTGATATATACTTCATACGTATACTTTCATTTTCTGTTAGGGGGATGTAAAGTAATACAAAATGTAGAGTAGTATTATCCAAGTAGTAAAGTTAAGTAGTAAGAGACTTTATATAATAGACAGTTTAAAGTCCATCAAATGTTATTTTATTAAGAAAACTCGTATTTCTTTTAAGATATTTTATTTAAACATTTATACAAAACAATTTAACTATCAAATAATTGTTTTTTATGTTTAATCTTAGACGTCACATAACATATACTTGTGATATGCTTATAAACTGTCAATTAACACTTGAGCACTATTTTGATGAACATTATTTACTGTTGTTTCTTCGTTCAATTGGAAAATTCATTTGATATAATAATTTATTTATATATACATTAATTTGATGAATTTTTTTTTGTTTAGTTATCACATAAAAAATCTTATCAGTAAAGAAATTGAAAAATAATTTCTTTGCTTGTAGTATTTAAGTAGTTCAATAAACGTGATTGGATTAAAAATTTGATTGGGTTTCATTTAAGTGAAATAAGACTCATTTAAGTTTTATTCAAGACAATTAATGTATTTTTAGTATAAATAATATATTGCATATTTTCCATATTAAAAATAAATCTGGTTTATAGAGTGTATTAATCTTAAAATGACAAGTAATGGTTTTAAGTCATATTAATATTATGGTAAGGATTACATTTTAATTTTAATGGGATTTACTAAAGTTTATTTAATTAATATTTTAATATAATATAAAATTTTTAATTTTTTATCTTTAATAATATATTTTAAAAGATAAATATCAAATGTAAAAAGTGTTAAGTTGAAAACGAATATAATTAAGCATTAACAGTTTTAAGTTAATTAACGATATGAATTAATGAAGATTAATTTTAAAGTATAAGGTTTACTTTAGTGGTTTTTAAAAAGTTTTGAGCTACAAACGAAAATAATACTAATTGCATTTAATAGTTTTAAGTTAAATAACGTTATTAGGCAATATTCGAAATACTCGAAACAGCTGTATGGTCAGCCAAAAATTCAATTAATTAAAATAATTTAAAAAAATAAATTTTTGTTGTTGTTTCACTTCTGTTCGAAAACCTCTTTATAACGTTATTAGTTAATAAGGATTAAATTTTATTGAGTGAGATTTGCTTTAGTGGTTGTATATTTGTTCATTTCTTGATTGTAATATATCACAAGCAACATTTTTTAAAATTGCATTGTCATATAATGATTACAATATATAAGGTTTTAGTTTTCATTTTACCGAGATTTACCGAAGCGGTTCCATTAATTAAATCTTGGTTAATAAAATTAAACTTAAAGCCAAATTACGTTTGTAATTGATAAGATTTAAGTTTTAATTTTAATAGTATTTAATGAAGTGGTTAAATTAATTACAATTTATTCAATAAAATTATTTCTTTTTTAATCTGATTGTTCATTTCAAAGAGATGATAACATTTTGGGCTTAGAAAAATTTTGGGTCTCATAATTTATTTGAAAAAAATTAAGCTTAAAAGTCTAAAGGCTTTTCATTTTATTTTATTTCATTTTATTTTATTTTATTTTATTTTATTTTATTTTATTTTATTTTATTTTATTTTATTTCATTTTATTTTAGTGATTTAATTTTTCTTTATTTACTGATAGTTTGTTTTATTTTATATTTTTATTACTATTTTATTGATTACAAAAAAAATGATTAATTTTATTTATTAAAAATTTTATTAGTTTTTTTTATCTTATGATATTTTTTTTATTAATTTTTTTGTTTTCTTTTTTTTTTAATTATTGTATTTATTAAAAATTTTATTACTTTTAATTATTAAAAATTTTATTAATCTTATTCATTAAAATTTTTTTTTAATTTTAATTATTAAAAATTGTATTAATTTTATTTATTAAATATTTTATTTATTTATAAAAACAATAATTTTTTT